AAAAGTAATTTTAGTGGATATATTAAACCATAGGAAAGATATAAAATTGTATTGAAAACTTGAATGTGCGTAGTATAACATGTTATGACACTTACACGATATACAATGCAGAAATTTCAAATTTGGGTTGCTCTTCCTTAAGAATGTGCAATTCTCAATAACTATCCACAAAACAGAGTAATCAAAATTTGGTAAAAAAAGTAGTGCTACATTTTGCTTCTTACACTTTTACATCTGCTTTTACCCACTATTATATTTTGTTTTTTATTTTTTAACTTTTATGCATTATTTAGTTCTATTGTTGTTTTGTTATGGTGGTCATTTGTGTTGGTTATATGGGTTCCGATCTAGCATTTGAAATGCTAAATATTCACACTTAAATATTATTATATTGAATATCATGAGTTTAACATAAAAATAGGTCACTAAAAAATAGATGTTCACAATTTTCCGCAAAGAGTACAATACATTTGAAAGAAGAAGTTGTTAGGTACATGATGTTTTTTGGTGCTATTTCCGCAAAGAGTACAATACATTTGTTTTTCAAAATTTTGAAATGAGAACTGGAGCCAGAAAACCTATTTAACCCTTGGGTTGTAGCTTTTTAACTTTTTTTGGATCTTAGAGATGAAAAAGAGGTGGATCTAAAGGAGTGCCCATGATCAAAGTTCCGTCAACATAGCTCATTGGATTTGGAAGGTATGTTCTAATTTTGATTCAACGTTTCATCCCCAGTTTTATAAATTCTCTATTTTATCATTTGTGGAAAAATTTATGTATGTTGTGTGTTTACTCTTTCATTAATAATCAACTTACAACTATTTTCTTTGGAACTTGTGTGATTAGCTACTCTGCTCTGTATATGCATTCATCTTAAGTTACGTAAACAAGATAGTTAAATTTACCTGCTTTCATTTTATTTGTACAAGAATAGATGAAGGTTGTTATGAACATGGGGCCTTGGCCTACTTATTGCTCGGAATGTTGGTCAGGTTCAAGCACACAAGTCGTTTGTAGGCATAGACAAGTCTTATTTTATTCGTGTGCATATAAGCGCTTACCACTATTTTGTGATTTCGAAATGTTTTGTTGTAGGTTTTTGAAATTGAAAAGAATCTATGGTTTTCCCATCCTATGATTCTCAAATGCGGAAGCATTCACGTAGATGGGTAGGGTATTTAAATTTCTATTCATTATACAATGGTTGAGAACAAAGTCAAGATCTGATATTTTTTGTGATTTGATAGTCCTAGCTAGGGGTGAGCGTGGGTTGGTACGGTTCGGAGATTGATAAATCTCCAGAACCATACAAAACTTCGGAGATCCCAAAATTCGATCTCCAGAACCGTACCAAAAAGTCGGCTCGGTTCGGTTTGGATATTTTTATTTTTCGGTTCGGTTCGGTATTCAAGACTATTGGGATGGTTCGGTTCGGTATGGTTTGGTTCGGATCTTCGGAGATTTTTATTTTTTTAATTATTTTTGAATGACTACCTAGTTATATTTTAATTTTTATATGCTTTAAAAAAAAACATTCATCATTAATTCATCATATTGAAAATTTTATTTTGAAATCAATTCTAGAAGTAACTCTAAATTTTAGTTATTTAATTTTTATATGCTTTAATAAAACCAACATGCATCAGTACTTCCTCACATTAAGATTTTACTTTGAATTCAACTTTATAAGTAACTCTAAATTTTACTAAATTTGTGCAACTAATATTAAAAATTTAAAATTCAAATAAAATAAAATATTTTTTTCTTAAAAAAATATTCTTTAAACTTTCATATTATTTTAAATAATTATTTTATAATATAAAAAATTCAATTGTAGATCAAGTATTACTAAACATGAAATTTAAGTGAATGTTAATATTTATTACTATATTATATAGAATCGAAGTTGACATAAAATTCATTAATAACACATCTAATGTTATAATTCAGTTCTTAATTTCGGTACTTCGGTTCGGTACAGTACGTGACGGTTTGGTGCGGTTCTCGGTACGAATATTTGTGAAATCTCCAGAACCGTACCAATTATTTTTTCAATTCGGTTCGGTTCGGAGAAAGTCAAACGGTCAACGGATATTTTTTAGTTCGGAGTGATTTCGGTTCGGTTTTCGGAACGGTTCGGAATTCTCTGAGTCTCATGCTCAGTCCTAGTCCTAGCCATTATAGTTCGTAAAGTTGTAGTTGCCCGTTGCATTGAACCGCTAACCCAGAGCAAGAACTTCTATAGTCAATTTTGAGGTTTTCTTATGGAATGCACTACTCTTGTGTTTTAGAATAGAAAACTAAATCTTGTGTTGGTCCTTTTGTTGTGTGTTGGTATTTATTCCTAAGTTGATGATAGATTATTTGTAGG